GGGGGAGGGGCCAGGCAGGGGCGGGGCCAGGCAGGGGCGGGCAGGGCGGGGTCAGGAGTCAGGAGGGAAGATGCGGGCTGGGGCGGGCTGGGGAGGGGCCAGCACACCCTGGAGAGACCAGGAGCGCTGGGCGGTGCCTAGGTTAGGGGTGAAGAGGGACGTGTCACACACGTGGCATTCTGTAGCCACAGAACTGGGATCGCAGTTTAGACACAGTTTGTGGCCAGCTCTTTCCGCCTGTCACCTCTGGCACATCCCTCCTCAACTTCCTTAACTTCCTTGAATTAGAAAAATTTTGGCCGCTTTCACCAAAATGCTCAGAGTGCTCATATCTGGGCTAATAGAATTATAGACAATTTTTATTTTCTTTTTATACTTTTCTATATTTCCTCAACTTATGCAACCAACACACAGCATGCTAATAACCAGGGCCGGGGGTATGACACAAAGGTGTGACTGCTTGTGCCTGGTCAAAGCACTCTGAAGTAAACCCTACTCTAAAAAGGTACACAGCTTATCTTTCCTCAGGGCCAAACTTAATTTGAAAGTCAAAAGGAAAAGGGGGGAGGGGCGGGGAGGGACCTCTACACCCAAACCCACTGAAAGGGCTCCTGACCTCCCATGACATGTGACATCGTAACATCACTGACACTCTTCAAGCTAAGTGCTTCTCTTCTGCCCCTGGCCGGTGTTTCCAGTGCTTCTGGGAGGCGCTGGGTGTCCCTCTCTGAGGAGGAAGGACAGGCATGTCCTCTCAGCCCTTCGTGAGGCCCTGACACAGGGTGTCGTGGCAGCTAAGGGCTGGAGGCTGGTGGCGGCCTTTCTCCGACCAGCCAGCCCGGCTTCTGTGGGCCGGGCTCCTCCTGCCGGACTCCCTCACCCTCAGCCAAGCACATACCGCAGGCAGGACGGGGGCCGTGGGGCCGGAGCAGGCCCGGAGCAGCGGCACAGGACAGGGGACGCGTGACGGGCACAGCGACATGCCCGAGGAACAGGAAGTCAGTGGCCTCAGAGTCTGCACAGGAGCAACTCACTGGCAGGTGGGTCAGGAAGACCCTCAAAGGCAGGCATCAGAGTTGACCCGCCCAGACCCACGCCCAGACACAGCCGTCGGTGCAGGACCAGCCAGCAAAACGAGATGTGGGCCAGTGGAGGGCGACAGGGAGCGGGCCAGCCACAGGGCAGGGGTGGGGACAGGCCAGCCTGGGGCTGCAGAGGCTGCTGTCCGGCTGGCCTGGCTGTGCGAGGGGCTCAGGGACTGGAGAAGCTGAGCAGACGCTGCCCATGGCAGTGAGAGCAGAGGGGCAGTGCCCCACTGGACGAGCGGGAGGGGACAGGAAGCAGTCCCAGGACGGGACGCACGGTAAACCCAGAGGTGACGATGGCTGCAGCAGTCCACCCTGAGGTGACAGCAGCACACACCGGAGCACCGAGGGAGCACCGCCATCCTTCCCGTCACGTGTGTGTGACAGACACGGCTAGTCCGCACCTGCCAAGACACAGGGCACTGAGAACTGCGGAGGCACCGGGCGGGCAGAGCCGCAGCCACCGCGTGACCCCACGCTGGGGGAGAGCCACCGGGTCCAGCTCCAACGGCTGCCGTAGCGCTGCAGTGACACTGCGTGACCTGGGCTCAGAGCAGGACCCGGACCGCGGGCCACTGGGAACCCCAGACGCGTCCTCCCAGGGGGCTTTTGGCAAAGGGACCCAGCGGGAGGGATGCGGGAAGGATGGGGCGAAAAGCCTGGCTTTCTGCACTTTTTGGCTTGAGAATGCAAAGAATTCCCCCCCCTTCTCCTGCTAAGCACATCGCTCTGACCTCTCCACGCTGCCCCCGCCCCGGGCGTCCTGACCACATGGAGCACGGAACTCGGCAAATAAATCGACCTGCTTGTTTGTTTGCATTTCCTCCCAACCTCATTCCATTAAAGATTTAGATCACGTAACACGAATACGAGAGAGAAAGCCTGACTGAATCAGGATCAGGAAAATAACACCAGCATGGACATTTGGACATTCGGACATTCGAGAGCCGAGGAAGGCAGCACGCCAGGCCGGCCCGGGGCCCAAGAGTTCGCCAAGCTGCTGCGGCCCACCTCCCAGTCCATCCCCTGCCCCACAGCCGATCCCCCGCCCCTCAGCTCATCCTGGGGAGGGGAGGCTTGTGGAGGGCAGGACATAGTTCGTCCACAGATGGAAAGCCTGCCGCCTGCCCTAGGAGGCGAAACGCTTCCTGGTGCCCACACAGGAAGGAGATGGCACCTGTGTTCCTCTAGGGATACACGTGCTGATGGGCTCCGATACCCTGAGGGCCTGGAAGCCACTGAAGCAGCCCCTGGCCCCCCAGCCCACCCCTGACACCCAGTGCTCTGAGCACAGGGAGCACACCCACTCCTGGAAGGCCCCGCAACCAGTGAGGAGACGTCACACGCTTCCGAAAAGCACAGATGGCACGTGTGCGAACGTCACCGCCAGATCAGATGAGTGGTTTTTAACAGTCAGAGGAAAAAGAAAGGAAACCTGGAAATATTATTTGAAACCACAAAGATTAAAAGCAAAAGCAAGGGTTACAAGAAATAAAAGCTAAATTTAAATTATTTACTTATTCCAGTAATAAGGGCATCCAACAACACAGAATATGACTCAAAAACCAAACACTTATCTTTCCTTTTCCTCATGGCTGCATTTAAAGCACAGCTTCCCTCCTCAAGGAGTATCAATCTGTCCGCCTCAAGTATTTCCCATAGAAATTTTCATTCTTTAGTAACTTATGCACAAAAGATTTGTGAACATGTCATTTGACATATACATCATTACCTGGAAAATACTAAAGTCCTTTACTTTTCCAGAAATTTCTATTTAAAAATATTTTAGTTAAAAACATACCCATACCTGCTAGTCACATGGCCGTAATTCACTAGGTAAAAGTCACAGAGCTGCACACTTAGAAATTGTGTACTTTTCTTATATAAGTTTTATTTTAACGAAAACTTTAAAAGAAACACTCATTTGTAAACACTCAAGTAAATACTTTCAATAAGTCTTAAACCAAATAAAATGAAAAAATGTGTGCGTGCAGGTGCCACAGATAAGACACTGCACGTGAAAGTGTGTCACCACTAAGCACCTGTAAGGCCTCGAGAAGACGGGGTTCGCGGCCATCGGCCCCAAACACAAGGGAACAGAATCCCAGTTAAGAGTTAGCACAACAGAGAGAGACGAGGGGGCACCGCAGCACAGGCTTCCCGCACCGCCTGCCTGGTACCGGAACTGCCACGATCTGCTTTCCTCGGGCCACACGACCCTCGGGGGCAGCTGGCCTTTCTCTCTCCCGTGACTGGGGCTCCCATACTGCCTTCTGGCCGGGACCCTCTGAGAGCAGACACACGCTCTGTCCAGACAGAATAGCCAGAGTCGGGGCGAGGGGGTGGCTGGGCGGCCTCAGGCCGTGAAGCAGTGCACACCAAACCCTGCCCTGGGTTGGGAGTGTGACCCGGGGGACTGTGCTGACGGGGACCTCCGCTTCCTTTACTGTGCCGGAAGCAGCACCGGCTTCGCCACTTCTCGCGCTGTGACTACCACTAACAGAATCCACCACCGTGCGAGCCCACCTGTATTTTGGACTATTTACTCGTCGCTTTCTGTCACAGTTGAATCACAAATGCAAAGACCGACCATCTGATTCCCTCCCTTGTTGGCAAGTGATTTGCAGGAGGAGATTTTCGCTCTGCTGTGGGGCTGCCAGTCTTGGCAATGTCACCCCAGCATCCCCTGCAGCGCTCGGCAGCGTATTCAGTGTCATGTTAACAGCGAGACGCACCCGGCTCTGCTGTCAGCTGCCCCCGCGGGAGCCCTCGCACTGCACGGCCATGGCGGGCATCATGAGGCAGCTCCCGGGTACGTGGGTCCCGGCCCGACCCACGTGGCAGAAAGGCCTGAGGCACAAAGCTCTCCACCGGAGTCCTGCAGGACCCAGCACAACGAGAGGGGACAGGCCGCTCCGGGAAGCTCCGAGCCTGTCCCTGAGCCCAGGAGAGCAGGACACTTCTGAGCAAGAGGGAGCACGTGAGCTGCCTCCGGAGCTTCGCGCATGGCACCTCGCCCCCTGGCAGCAGGGCACCTAACTCGTTTCCCTCTCTGCAGCCGCGACGTGAGCTGGCGGACGGTAAGGAAGCGCTGGCCTTGGGAAGTGGCGTTGTGGGACAGCGGCATTTTTACTAGTTAGGCCCACACGGCATGTTTTTCCTCCGCGGACACTGGTCCCACCCTGATCCCAGTCTTATCCGGCTCTGTGAACTGCCAGAGGGTCACGGAGGCCCATTTGTGTGCCGTGTTTACACGGGGCGACTGTCACCTCCAGTAAGGTGTCCTGAACTCTCAAGCGGCCGAGTGGTCAGGCCGTCGCCACCACGCCATGATTTCTCTAGCCCATCTCACTTCTCACCGTGGGGCCCTCTGCCACTGCGTCACGGGACTGCTTATTACACAGGAGACAACAGAGTCCCGGGAGAGACATCGGTCATCCTGCCCCAGCAGGCGGACTGCACAGACCGAACACCAGAGGGAAGCCAGCCTCGTCCCCAGGACAGCCCGTGGGAAGCCACCGGACCCAGGGACGGCGCTAAGCGGGAGGGCCCACTGCAAGGACAGGGCACGCCGGGGTGCCAGTGGCAGTGTGCGGCCCCTCGGGGTCTCAGCGGAAGGGAAGGGCAGCGGAGAAGGCCCTGTGGGGGGCAGAGAGAGCCCAGGGAGCTGGGAGGCCTCTGGGGGCCGGGACGGTGGCGTGGCGCACCTACCTGGTCACAGCCGGCGCCCACCAGCTCCTGCAGCATCTGCCGGTTCACCTGGGGCTCGTTGGCGAAGGGCAGCAGCGAGTAGCGGATCTCCCTCAGGGCCTTCTGGTGCGGCCCGAACCGCGGGGCGGCCCTTGGCTGCTGCCGCCGGGCGCCATCCTTGCCCCCCAGAGCCTTGGCGTCCGCGGCACTGTCGCCCGGCCCTGCGGGCGGCCCCTGAGCCGGAGCCTTGGGCGGCTGCTTCAACCCCTCGCGGATCTCCTGCAGGCGCTGCCGGCTGTTTCCGGAGTAGGCGGTGGCGGGGAACGTCTTCGGCCTCATCGTCGTCCGCCCCGTGACCGACCACGGCCTTCGTCGCGGCCTGAGCACTCCTGGAAACCGTCACTGGTGGCGGCCAGCGGTGGACGCGCTCCCAACCGCTGCCTTCAAAGTGCGCTTCCCTTCGATCTCTGGAGTCCTACGGAGAACCCGGAGCCTGCAGGGCCTTCATCGCCAAGATCGCAGCTGCCTGGAAGAGAGCACGGCAGACGGCGTTCACACCCAGTCCCCACGGAACGGCGTCCCCTCATCCTCCCAGGACTGAGAACCAGCCAGTCCCCTCACAGCCACCAAGTGCTGCTCGAATCTGGTCAGCCCACAGGACGCCAGGGCTGTCCCAGGCGTCCCTGGCCAAGGCAGTCTGCAGCGTGGCAAGCCCCATCGGCTCGCACCGGCTCAGAGGCTCCAGCTCCGGCGGGGACAGTGGCATCAACCACCGAAGGCTGACGGCCGCTGCAGGGGCTTCGTTATAAGACAGCTCCACCGGGCACAAGTCTTTCTTACATGCGGCCCTGGCTTTCTGGCGTGTCCCTAACAACCCGGTCAGCTCCCGGTCCCCACCATCGTGCTATATCCCCGGGACCTCACCAACCTTTCACCCGCTGGAGCCGAGGTTCGTCCACGTCTCTGGAAATTTTTCCTTATAAGCTCCCCCACCCACAATTTCCCAAAAGATACCACAAAACTTGTCACATGAAGGTGTCTTATATTGCAACTGAAAGTAGTTCCAGCGCAAAGTATCAGGAGACTTTCAAGGTGACTACTTCCTTGATTCTTTATAAATTGGTCAACTTCTTATCAGCATTCTGATCTAAATACCAAGATGAAAATGTCTTTCCTGTACAGACTGACACTTACAAGGAAGGAGACTGGCAGAGGCACATGGGTGACTCCTTGGAGAGCAGGGTGACCACACTAGCAGCAATGTCATGCACGCAGGCCAGCTAGGACACCACCACACCCACCCCAGGCCTCACTGCGCGCCCGTTCCTACAGTGCAACCCGACAGTGCCCTTAGCAGCCAGCGAGGTGTCCAGCTCAAGTCACTTATCTGGGTGACCTTGGGCCAGTCGTGCACCTGCCCAGCCCCCACGCCCCCGCAGAGCAGGCTGACACTTGGCAACAGGGGGTGGCGAGCACAGAGCGAGATAGTGCGTGAGTGTCTGTGCAGTCCTTGGAGCAGTTACTGTCACTTCCACTGGCTGCCACAGCCTGGGCACTGAGGCCCAGTGGCTGGCCTCTGGGCTCAAAGAAACACTGACCCAGAAAAGAAAGTCCTTTAAGTGGGGAGGGTGAGGAGGGCTGGGGTTTGCCTCAGTGAGGGACCGCAGAACTGTGAAACAGGACTGTCCCTCACTGACTTCCTCATGTGAGAAAAAGGACAGCTCATGTTTACTACGAGCCAGGCTTGTTCCGGTGCCATGTGAATGACCTTACACACACCTGCGCATAACCGTGCACGAGAGCAAACCGAATAGACAACGCTGACACCGAAATGCCTTTTCTTCCCCACGGCTGGAGGACCGGGCCTAACCACGCCCTTTCTCAGCCTGAGCGCAGGTGCATTCAGAAAGAAGGCCAGACCAAAGAGACTCCTCGACGGGAAGCCCCTGCTTCAGGGTCGATGTCCACCCCAGGCCTGTCGTGGAGCCACGCAGAGCCGCCGAGCCAGCGCTGGCCATCTCCGGCGTGTGCCGGCCACGGACCAGAGGCCGAGAGGTTGGCCTCACGGCACAGAACACAGCCCACTGCGAACACACGTCTGGTTTCTTCGTGGTCAGAGCATCTGCTGTGAAGCACCTCACTTTCCAAAACGAAGAGGTCCCCAGGACGCGCTCCTGCTGAGCATGGACAGAGGGTCCCAAGGGACTGTCTGGGAACAGCGGCATGCTGGACAGCTTCTCCTGGGGAGCGCGTGCCACTCGCTTTGCTTCCAATCTGGTTTTCTTCCCTTTCTTTGAGAACTAAAATCCAGAAGATGGAAATCATATCATGTCTGTGGCAAGTAAATATGCCAAGGAGGAGCCTGACAATTCACAGGGAGGGCTTCTGGTAGTCAGCGTGCTCACACCCTGTGCCATCCACCGTCTCCCCAGCCCCACCTATCCACCTGGTGAACATGTATCCCAGGCCTGCATCCAGGCACCGCCAGGATAAACAAGAACCAGGCCCGGCCCTCAGCCAGTTTACAGCCAGGTGGAGGGGGAAGGGGCCCAGGCAAACAGCTTCCAAGAAAGATGCCCAAGAGGAGAACACATCATCATCAAGATGGGAGAAGGAGGAAGCCAGAGAGGCTTCAAAGAAGAGCCTGAGGGGAAGGAGGGCTGGATGTCGAGCCAGAGGGAGCACTGTATGCAAAGCAGCAGCATGTGGGGGCCCTGCCAGCTCGTCTGGGTCTGTGGGGTGCAGGCTCCTCCTGGAGAGTAAGGGGGATGAGACGGGAGGTGCAGTAGGCCCCCACAGCCATGTCACCTGTCGGGGCCGAGTGCACGGTCTGCAGTTAAGCTGAGCAGTGACACGGCTCAGTGCCCTGTAGGAAGCCGAGCCTGGAAGGGACAACCGCAGCCCTCCAGGTGGCCAATGGGAGCTGGGTGAGGGGCACGCAACCCGGGAGGTACGGGGCAGGGCAGTTCAGGAGCTACACCTTGGCCCCGGGTCTGGGTTTAAAGATATGGGGGGTGGGGGGCGAGCCGCCAGCACCTGAGACATTTACCCAGCTGGTGGCCTGCATCCCTCAGGGGAGCAGTCAGTGACCCAGCTGGTGGCCTGCATCCCTCAGGGGAGCAGTCAGAAGCAGGCTGCTTCTCTCTCCGCCAAGAAAGGGCAAGAGCCCCAAGAGATGTCCACGCAAAAGGAAAAGGAGCTGTGAGGAAACCAGCCAGGCCATGACATCCTCACTGCCTGGCCACCCCGGCAGACACGGGAGTTGGGGACAGGAGGAGGCCGGCCCTGGCTGACTCTGAGGGGCGCTGCCGACAGCAAGTGCACAAGTCCGAGGACAGACCAAACTCCGGCAGCAGCAGGGGACGGAGGCCGCACCCGGCCTGAGAGGGCTCACCTCCCCGGCCAGCCTCGGGGCTCCCCACCCAGGGGGTTACTCAGCCTGGACTCCAGCGTCCAGCTGCGCCATCCAGCCTCCGTCTGGTTACCTGTGCTGCACTGTGTGGTGGTGCTCTGCCACCTTCCACTGCTGGGTGAGACCCCAGGGCATGACCACACACTCCTTTCTGGGCTTCCCCGTGGAAGGATTCGGGGTTGGCCCTGGTCCGGGGCCACCGCGAACAGTGCTGCTGCCCCCAGGCTGCGGGAGCCATGAGGAGTGGGCGTCTTGCTCCAAGGCTGTGCTGCCGCCGGCAGAGCAAACACCTCCGTGTGGCTATAGGGGTCACGTGGTCCCTTTGTGAGCTACAACAAGGCGCCCCCTTCCTCGTGTCAACGGGTTTGCTACGTGACCTGGCACCACGTGTCACAATCCACACACGCACACACCAGGTGAGGGGGCGGGTGAGGGCTGCATCAAATGGAGGGTGGGGACTAGGCCTCTGCGGCACAGGAGGGAAGGTAATGGCCTTGCTGCAGGTCCCAGAGGAGTGTGACCACGTGAGCTCACCACACCCTGCACAGGGCACACGTGCCGCAGGGCCACACCCTGCACAGGGCACACATGCCGCTGCCCGTCTTCTGCGGGTGGCCTAGAGCCTCCACGTGGGCTGAGCGCACCCTCATGCGTGTCTGCATGATGTGAGGCCCTCAAGTGCAGGGCGCTTGAGCAGTACGCAGCCAGAACACCTGTACAAGGTGGCCCTGTCACTAGGCCTTAGGAACTCGTGACCAGCCTCTGGAGACAGACAAGGAAACAATGATTTAAACAATCTAACAATTTAAATAACACGAGTCTAACATGATAAAGGCGACAACAAAGACCGCCCAAAGGATGAAGGGCCCAAGACTGCACAGCAGCAGGACAGAGATGGGGCGCGGGGCCAGCAGTGCGTGAGAGGCGGGGCCCCCAGCTGGCAGTGTGCCCTGCAGCGACCTCCGGAAGGACGGAGCCCCAGTTTCTGCATGAGCATCCGGAGCCCACGGTGGTGCCTCCTCTGAGCCGGCACTGGGACCTTCAGGAGGGCGAGTACAGGCTGGGGACCCTGGTTCAGGAGATGGCGGTTTCAGTGCCAAGAACAAAGCGTGGGCTCTGGCGCCAGCTCCGTGTGAGCGGGCAGGCGGCACCTCGCTGAGTGTCTCCTGCTCGCGGACGGGCCTCGCTGCCTCTGAGGAGGATGGCAGGCGACTCTGCGTGCGACTCTGCGTGCGCGCCCTCTCCTCGGGGAGGCACGGCGCCTGGCCCACAGGGATGGCTCCTGGTGGGCTCAGGGCTGGAACCAGGACGACAGGCTCTGCTGGAAGGAGACGAGGCCCGGGCAGAGCGCCGGCGGGCTCCGCGGCAAAGACGCCAAAGTGGGCGCAGGGATGGTGGGTTCTGCGCCCGCGCCCAGTTAAAGTTCCTCGCTCCTCACTCCAGGGAGAGGCACATGGAGGGAGGCTCACAGCAGACTTCCCACTCCCCAGGCGGCCAGGGTGGGCTTCAGCTTGGGTGACCCGGGCTGGGTAGAGGGTCCCACCCTCCCTGTGCCCTGTGTCAGCGGCCTGTTGACTCGGAGTCTCCCTTCCCCGTGCCACCTTCCTGGGACTGCTGTGGGGTGGGGCTCACTACCTGCTCCCAGGAGTGGGTGATGTGTCACACACATCCTGCGATGCTGTGTGCCAGGCGGTGGGCGGGCAGGTGGGGGTACTGGTGGGGAGCAGGGCGCTATCAGGGGTTTCAGATTGGCGCCCAAATGACCGTCCTGAGTGAGGGTTACACGTGGCGGGTCGGTAAGTCTCAGAATCACGACGCTACAACGTGGGTGGACCTGGCACTGTGCCAGGTGAAACTCACCAGACGCGCAGGTCAACCCTGCATGGCCGCACTCATGTGAGGCAGCCAGTGGGCACGCCGAGAGACGGAGACCGTGGAGGGTCCCGGGCCGATCGGTGGCCGTGTGATTCCCTGAGCTTCCGTTTGGGATGGCAGACAAGTCCTGAGCACAGAACGCGGTGAGGACCGCGGCAAGGACGTGAACGTCCTTAACACCAGCAAACTACACCGGAGGACAGTTCAAATGGTGAGTGTCATGTATATGTCGCCCTGAC